AGTAATAAAGAGAGCACACATTGCTGTCAAACATTTTTAATGAAAAGTTTCATAATGCCTTCCATATCCTGGCTCCCGCTCCCGTGGCTGGTATGCGCGCACTGAAGTGAGGGGGTCCGCGGGTTCCCCGGAGGCTGCCCAGGCTCTGGAGAAGCAGGTCAGCAGATTAGCAGCCCACCCGCCCTGCAGCCGCCTCCAGGGTCACCCAGGCCTGGGAGGGCCTCCGGCAGCTGCACTCCCACGCGGCCCCGCTAGGTGGCGACCGAGCAGGCTCCCCGCTCTCCGGGGCCCAGTGGTGCCATGACCTCCTGTCTCCCTCCCTGGGGTCTGGCCCCTACCCTCAGGGAGACAGCCCCGGCTTCTGGGAGCCACAGACGTGACACTGAGGCCGTCCCCACGGAATCCCCGTGTGGAAGGGAACAGAGAAAACGTTTTCTCGAAGGCGAAGCTGAGGTCAGAGGGGAGAGGACAGTTAGCACCCAGGGTCCTAGGTGAAGATGTGGGCTCGCCCGCCTCCTGCCCCTCCTCGGGCTCTTTCTGGGGAAGCGGCTGCCTGTCCGTCCTCCTGGCTGGGAGAGAGGGCTCCTTTGGGCCTCAGAGTCCTGCAGGCCGGGGAGGGGGGTGAAGGGCCTGCCAGGGCGTCCCCGGGCCCAGCCTCAGGCACCAGCTGCCCCTCCCGGGGGCGCGGGGCTGGGTGGTTCAGGCTCTGCAGGGGCGGCACCTGCTGGGGCAGGCCCCGTTAGTTAACCCCGCCTTCCCCTCCGTGACCCCATTTCCTCTGTGACCCCATTTGCTGCGTAAGAACAGCCCTGGTAGCATTTCCAGTCCCCGGCTGGCACTGCGCTCGGGCGTGGGGCTCTGAGGCTGAGAGCAGGGTTCTGTCTGTCTGAGGTTCTCAGGGGTCAGCAGGTGGGCACTCCTGGTGAGTCCCTCAGGGAAGGGGTCCCCTCCTCAGCTGGTCAGGTCTCAGTCTCCAAATGCAGCCGAACCAGGAGGTGCAGGGAAGTCTGGGAACAGGGAAAGGGCCGGACCAGGGAGTGGACCTGCCAGCTGAGGTGGCAGGAGTCCCGGAGGCCCAGTCCCGGCCTCTGCGGATCAGGGCCCGGCCGAAGGCCGCTGGGCAGGGGTGGCCACAGGCGGCCTGGACCGCGGATGCTGCCGGGTCAGGCGGGCGGGATGGGCAGAGGGGCTGGCTCTCAGCAGGGACACACTGACTCCTTCCCTTGGAGCTGCTGCGTGCCCAGGTGGACATGGGGGCGGGAGGTCGGTGGGGGGCCAGGCGGCGGGAAGAGAAGGCATCCCAGCTACGGACCCTCCCGCCCGCCCCCCACGGGCCGCCGCTAGCCCTGCGCGCACTCCATCCACCGGAGGAAACTTTGCGCGGCCCCCTCCTCCCCACACTAGCCCTCCGGGTCCGCCGAGCTCACTCCGAACCGGGTCGGAACCGCGAACTGTTTCGCATGCCATCCCGTTACCGTGGCAACACCATCCGGCGGCGGCGGTCCAATCGGAGCCCACGGCCTCTCTGGGGCCGTTCCCAAGGTGAGACCCGGGCGGGCGGACGGGCGCGCGGAGGCCGGGGAGGGGGCGGCCGGGCCCCGCTCGCTCGCTGACGCCCCGGCGGCACGGCCTGCGCGGCGCGGCGGCCCCCGCCAGGCGGCCCGGAGAGCGGAGCCGGCGGACCGGGCTGGCTCCGGTGCCAGGGGCGGGGACGCGGGTGACGTGAGCCGGGCGGGCGGCGGGCGGAGTTGGGACCCGCTCCGGGAGGCGGGGACGCGCGGAGGGAGGCGGCTCTGCGGCGGGCGCGGTGGGCGCGGGCGGCGGGGCCCGGGATCCCCTCCTCCTCCTCCTCCTCGGCGCCGCGCCGCCGCCGCGCGCCCCGCGCCCCGCGCTCCAAGCGCCCTCGCCCCGCGCCTCCGCGCCCGCCTCCCCTCCCTCCGCGGCGGCCGTCTGCAGGGCGAGCGCTCAGACGGAGCCCCGCCAACTTGAGCTGCGCCTTCCGCCCCGGAGCCCCGCCACCGAGCACCCCGACCCGGCGGGCGCGGACCGGACCCGGCGCCCCGCCTCTCCCGTCCCCGAACCCCGCCGGCCCCGGGCGCTGGGCTCCCACCGGAGGCGAGAGACGCGCTCCTCCGGCCCCCGCCGCGCCCCCCCCCCCCCCCCGGGCCGGCCGCCCGGTCCCCGCGGGCCTCGCCGCCGTCCCCGCCGGGCTCTCCCGGAGGCGCCGCCGCCGGCCCGCGCCCCGGGGGAGGATGTGCGCCCCCGCGGGCCGCCCCGCCTGAGCCATGCGCCCCCGCGGCGGCGGCGCGCCGGCCGGCATGGAGCCCCGCGCGGCCGCGCTCTGACCGCTGCGCCCGCGGCCGGCGGCGGCGGACCGAGCAGACCCGGCGCCGCGGGACGGAGCGAGCGGAGCGGAGCCGCGCGGATGGCCGGGGCGAGCGCGGTCTGAGCGCCGCTCGCGGAACGTGACCATGTGGATCCAGCAGCTCCTCGGACTCAGGTGAGCGGCCTGGGGCGCGGGGGCCGGGGGTGCGTGGGTGCCGGCCGGGCGGAGGGGCTTTCCTCGGGGACCCTCCCCGTCCCCCGCGAGCGGCCACAGGGTGCCCGGGGAGCCAGGTGGGGGCCCCGGTCCGGAGCTCGGAGCTCAGCGCCCCGCAGGGAGCGGCCGGCTCTCCCGGGGGCTCCGGGCGCCCGGGGTCCGGGCAGGGGCGCGGGGGGCCGGCGGCTCCGCCAGGCAGTGTCCGGGCCGCCCTGTGCCTCCTCCTGGGCCCCCAGCGCGGCGCCGGGCGCGGGGCGCCAGGGACCCAGGGCGGGGGCCGGCGGCCGGGGAAAGGGAGGGAGAGAACTGGGCGGGCGGAGTTGCAGGAAAGCAAAACAAAACCGCCTCTGCGCCCAGCTCTCCGCCTCCGGGCTCCGGGCGGAGCGGCCTCCGGGCTCCCAGCTGCCTCCCCAGCTGCCGGCGGGTGACCTCGGGCGGCGGAGCGCACAGCTGGCGGGCAGCTGGGGCCGGAGCCGCGGGGGATCCGGGGGCGCGCGGTCCTCCCCGCCCCCATCCGCACCCCGAACCGCCCGGGGCCGGCCTGTGCCCGGGACTCCCGGGCGAGCTGGGAGGACTGGGAGCCTGGAGCCCGCGGCGGGGGGTGCCCGGAGAGACCCCTTTTCTTTCCGCAAACTTTGCCGCCTGCGGGGTCGCCCGGGCGTCCGCCTCTGCCTCCGGCGCGCAGGGCGCAGCGATCCCTTCGCGGGGAAGGCGCCCCCGGGCCGTCACCCTCTCGCTGGGGGCCCCTGGGAGCTGGTGCGTGTGGGTCCCAGGTCGCGGGGAGAGCGAGGAGGACGGAGGTGGAGGCAGAGGGCGCCCAGTGCGGTTCCCAGTCCGGCCGCTGGGATGCACTGCGCTCCCGCGCTGGGAAGGACGAGGAGCCGAGCCCCGCCGGCAGCCCAGCCGCCCCCACAGCCGCCGCCGGCCAGAGCGGGGGGAGTGAGCCCCAGGGAGGACCCGGGCGCGTCCTGGTTTTGAGAAACCAGAAGAGGACGGAGCTCGCCAACCGTTTTCCGACTCCCCGCGTGGAGGGGACGATGCTCTGTCCTGTCCTGGGTCACGGCTGCTGACAGCAGCGATGCAAACTGTCAAACGCTGTCATTGGCCTTTTTCTGGAAAGCAGCGTCCCTCCCGCAGGAGCCTGGCTTGTCTGCTCTGCCATCTGGGCGTTGAGAGGTTAACGGTGAGGCGCCGGCGTTGGCATTGGCTCGGCCTGGACCTCGGTGTGTGCTCGGACTAGATAAGGCTCTGGACGCCGGCAGCAGGGGCCGGAGGCTTGGTGGGTGACCCAGCCAGGCACCTCGCCCTCTGCCTCCGGGTCTCAGCAGGAACCAGGGCCCGGGGAAGGATCTGGGGGTCCCCGTCCGACACTAAGCCCCTCTGGAACCTTGGCCCCGGCCCCTGAGGACTGCCTGCAGGCCAGCTACCGGCACAGACATGTTTGTTTTAGTCTGTGACACGGTGCCAGGCGAGAGAGCCGTGTGTTGGCGAGGGAGAGCGGAGTCGCTGCGCGGAGGGGCGCTCTGTGGGCTCCCCAGCGGGCGCCTCCCCAGCTTTGCCTTAGGAACAGTCCTGTGGGGGACGTGGAAGTTTGACCTTTTGTTTCCTCCCTGCGCACGGGGCTTTCTGGAAGTGGGTCTGGGAGGACGAGCTGTCACCTGTTCGGGAGGCTGACCGGCCAGAGCACTGTCATGTGGGAGCTGTCCCCCCCCACCTCCCCGGTCTGCAGCTCTGCCTCCCGCCAGGCAGGACCCCAGGCCTCCTCTGGGCGGGCTGCAGGCGGGGCGGCCTCCCGCTGGCCAGGCGGCCTCCCGCTGGCCAGGCCCGGCCTGGCTGTGACGGCCCCCTGAGCCTGCGCCTGCGCCCGGAGGCAGAGCTCAGAGGCAGAGCCAGGCGCGGGCCCTGAGCGAGGGGCGCTCCTGCTGTTTCTGACACGCAGCCGGGCTCAGGGCTGCGCGGCTTGGAGTGGAGCCTGCGGGAACCTCTCCCTCCAGCGGGGAGACGGACCGTTTTTACGAGCTGCTTTTTGCGCCTTTGGGGGCGGTTGTAGCAAAGACCTCAAGGTCCCTTCATGCACAGGGACGCTGGCGTCTCCCGGGACTGCCCAGAGCAGCTGCCCTGGATGGAGCCCCTCCGTGAGCGCCAGGGGCATGGGGGAGGGGGGCGCAGTGGAGTTAGGCGGGGGGGGGGGGGTCAGAGAGAGTGTAAGGGGGCTTCCGAGCTGCAGACCTCCAGGCGCTGCTCTGCCAGGGCTCCTCACCCGAGGTTTGACGTCGTCCTCAGGAGTTCAATGGCAGCCAAAGTCACGGCTCCTTCCAGCCGGCCCCTCCGAGCGGCTGTCTGTCCCCCTCCCTGCGGTCCCTGGCCCCTCCTCTCGGGAGGCCCTGGGCGTGGGGGGTGGGGTGGCCGGGGTAGGGGGTGTGTGACAACATTCTCTCTTGCTCTTTGCCTTTCTGGGACACTTCGCAGCTGCCGAGCACGTGGACCCGGTGAGCCTGGCCGCGGGGCCCGTGGCCACTGTCACCGGCCTGGAGAGGCCTGGGGGGGGGCGGGGGGGCTGAGCAGGGCCTCGGAGGGCGGGACCGGGGACGCCATCCGTCCGTCCGCAGGCAGCCCTCCCGGAGACTCCTGCCCCGCCGGCCGCTGCTCTTTCCAAACGGGTCTCAGCGGAGCCCAGGGAGCGTGGAGGCTGTGGCTCTGAGTGGGGACAGGGATGCTGGGATGAGTCGCCATTTCAGGAGGCAGCTCAGGTCCTCCTACCACGTGGCGCCCCCTTCCCCACCCACCCAGCCCCACCGGGACCCTGGACCTGGCGGAGGAGGGTGGCAGCTCCTGCCCATTTACCTGAATCACCGGCCTCCTTCCTCCTGGGCCTCCAGGACGTGAGGACGCCTTGGGAGGGAGCAGGACCGGCTCCTCTGGCCTCCCCGCCTCCTCTGGGCCCGGACAGGGAGGGACCTGCTCTCCCCACACTTCCTGCCTCCTGGCCGGGCACTGGGGTGGTGGTGGGGATGGTGGTGGGAACGGCAGCGCCCAGCCCGGGCCTCGGAGTGCCCACCCACAGACCCAGGCACCAGCAGGGCATTGGCAGGAGTGGGCTGGGTGCATGTATGAGTCCTGCATCCCCTTGGGCTCTTTGCGGGCAGACTCAGGGCACCCGGAGCACATGGGCACAGCCCGGCCCGGGGCACCGTGCAGTGGGCGAAGGCCAGACCCCGGCCGACCCATGGGCACCGCCCTGTCCCCCCCCCCTCCCCCTGCCTCCCCACCCTCCGGGCGGCTGCTGGACCGGTTACGTAAGAGGCGCCTGCCTCCCGTGCACGTGCCCGCGGCCGGCAAAGGGCGACAAGTCAGTGGAGACGAAGCTGATGCAAAGCTGAGCCGGAAGCCAAATATATCCCTGATCTAGATCGCATGCTGCAAGGCCAGCTCGGGAGGTTCCTCCTGCCGCCGCCAGCCAGCCAGCCGGGCGCGGGGAGGCGCAGGGCCGGGAGCGCCAGGCTCTGGACTCGCCCCTCCGAGCCCCTTCCAGGAACCGGAGCGCATGGGCGTCAGGGCCGCCCGGCTGCGGTTACGTAACTCAGAGGGACTCTCATTCATAGAAAGTCAGAGGCGGCGGCCATCAGAGCCCGGGCCCACGCCGACGAGGGAGGGGGCGGCTGGCTCCCCAGGGTCCATCCACATCCCGGCTGGGTCACACCTGCCCTCTGGGGGGGGGGGTGGCTGCTCGCTCTCTGTACCCCAATCATCCTCCTGGGACCAGGCTGCTTCAATGCCAGCCGGAGCCCGCTTCCAAACAGTGAGAGGAGGGCTGAGGCCCCTGCCCGCCTGGGAGGGGGGGGGGCGCGGAGGGGGAGGGCGGAGAGGGGGCAGGGCAGCTGTGCTGGGCTCAGGCGCTCTCTCTTTGGAAAGCTCCTCCAGACCTTGCCGGTTTGGCTCAGTGGATAGAGCATCGGCTTGCAGACCGAAGGGTCCCGGGTTTGATTCCAGTCAAGGGCACATGCCTGGATTGCAGGCTCCTCCCCAGCCAGGGCCGTGGTCAGGGTGGGTGCAGGAGGCAGCCAATGGATGTGTCTCACTCACATCCGTGTTTCTCTCTGTTTTCCTCTCTCTCCCTTCCACTCTCTCTAAAACCAATGAAACATCCTCAGGGGAGGATTCACACACAAAACAAAGAAGAAAGGAAAACAAAGGAAGCGCTTCCTGCCTGAGACAGGCCGGAGCCCCCTTCCCCCGGGGTCTTCTTAGTTGGCATCGTCTCTACTGACCCGAGAGCCCAGGGGGCTGACCTCCTGTTAGCAGGACGGCCCTGTGGCTGGGCCTACGGGGCGGGGAGGGGCTCAGGCTGGCGTTTGCATTTCTGCTGATCGCGGGCACTCAGCAAGGTGTCCCCTCCTTCCTGTCCCCTCCCACCCGGACAAAGGCGGGTGGCAGCCACGCTGGGCCCATCTTGCTGTGGCCTCCCCGGCCCCCAGCTCTCTGCCTGCCAGTCCCGTGCCCCCACTAGGACTCCTGCCAATTTTTGCTCTGTCTCGGGGGCCGGCCACGGGGGGCCATCCTGCCAGGCCGCTGCCTCTCTGCCCGCCCACCGTCCCAGCCCGCAGTGGGCAGCTGCCTGGGAGGTGTGGCTGTGGAGGGAAGCCAGGCTGGGGCCTTGCAGCTGGCAGCGTGTCTTGAGGGGTGAGGGGGGCCCTGGGGATCCGAGGGTAGGCTCCTGCCTTGGGGGGGGACCTGGTCCTGGGGGAGGGCGGTGTCTTGTTCTTCACCATCGCCTGTGAGCAGTGGCCGGTGCGGAGTGGACAACCAGGAGAGGTCGTGGGTGAGGACGTGTCCATGTGGCATGGGGCCCTGGCTCTCTCAGGCCTTGTCCTTGGGGTCCCTCCTCCCTGACCTCCCGCTGGACCTGGGGAAGCAGTGCCAGCCGAGGCTGGTCTTACGTGGAGGCCCTGCTGTGACTCCAG